CTATTTATTGAAAATATAACTACAAAACTGCACACTAGCAATATGTAAACAATGATTATTTATAGAATAAGAATGAGTGAAACTTACCAAAATATTACATCAAATACGCGCGCGTTCACTCGCCTCAACTCAGGCTTCGACTGAGGGGGTCAAGGGAAGGGGCGCGACGTCGTGGCGGATACCTACATAATTTGGTTTCTGAGAAATTAACCCAGCCATATTGACCGAGTAGGCTATAATATCCGAAACTACTGTATGTTAAATTGGAGTAGTTGTAATAGTTCGCTACAATCTATTTTCGAATGGACCATTTTATACAGTACTGTTAAATCAATCATCTTCCTAGATCTCAAAGAGGTTGTCTGATAATGTTTTAGTCGTTCATTATAGTTTGGAAAGTTTTTTGCCAAATTTTCGCCGTAAGAAATATGATAAAGGAAACGTTTTTGAACGTTTTCCAATCGTTTAATATATAATAATAATAATAAAATTTGTTTATTTCTGTAACTTATACATTTACAACAGATACAGCTAGGGAGCTCCTTTAAAGTAATAGAATTAACTTGTGTTAGGAGTCCCCGCTCTTCCACAGACGGAATCAAGTACATCAAGGTAAACACAATGAAAAGGTAACATTATTATACAAATTAAGAAACGTTTAAACAGGTTACATATAACTTCAATGTAGTTTTATTCACATAACGCATGTATGTTTGTGTATGTGTTGTACTGTTTTAAATAATTAGATCTAAGTTTTAAAATAATTGTGTAATTATTTCCATTTTTTCAGTTTCATAGTAATCCAATTTTTTTACCAGTCTTTTAAAGTTTTTTTGCAATTATAAGTGTTCATACCATAGATGTTCACTTTACGATTTATTTTAGTATATATATAAGTAGCTTGTCTTCTAAATTGTTTTCTAGTAAAACTTGTTTTTGCGGGGGGAAATGTGCAGGGTAATTTAATATCCTTACGTCTTTTAGTTGATACTTATATTGAGGGTTCCATATTATGCTATTATATTCTAGGATTGGACGGACAAAGCATTGAATAATATTATTTTAATTGATGGTCTTTTTAATTCTTTGCTATTTCTTAGTATGAAACAAAACATTTTAAATGCTTTGGATACAATATTTAAAATATGAGTGTTGTATCTAAGCCCCGAATCTAGAGTAACACCTAGACCTCGTAGGTATAAATAATTGTTTTATGGTCATTAATTTAGTTTCTTTATATCTTAGTATGGTTGGCGTTTAGAAATTGTAATGGAATAATATTTTGATAATTTTGTTTTGTTGTATTTGGAGATTGGCTAGTTTTGTCTTGGCGGCGCTGCCCCATATTTCAATTAGATGTCTTCGGACGTGCAAGAGCTAATTATTTCGGACACCCATATGGAACAGCAAAGATGTGAACCATAAGAATGGATCTAAATCGTTTTGGATTATTTCCAGACTCTAAATCACTTTTGATAGTTTCAAAAATATAGTCAAATGTTTCTACACTCATTCTGGTGTAGTCGTAGAATCTGTCGGGATTTTGTCTCTGTTCTTCATAATTTCGATAAAATTCGCCATTTATTTTCCTAGCCATATAGTAGGGATCCACTTCTTCTTTTGCCCACAATAAATCGAGCGTTAGGAATAAATTCGAATCATAAAGATGTCGCCGTTTTTCAGACATTTCGTTCGTGAATAAAAACAAATATCTCGACAACACAACACTACACCGCTATAGTGCCGCGCGATCTGCCCGCTAGTTAGGAGAACAGGTATGCGTTGTCCGCCCCGCTCCCGCCCCGCTGCCGCCGCCGCTCCGCTGCCCGCAAAATTCGAGGCAAAGGCCTAAGGGATGATAGTTTTGCTACTATGTGCTCAATCTGTGCATTCCACGTCAAACAATTATCCATTCTCATACCTAAGTATGTTTCGCAAGTTTTTCCTGGATAATAATGTTTAATGGATAATGAGGAGGAATAATTTTGTTTTTTGATTTAAATATTACGTAACATGTCTTTTGTATATTTATCGTTAGATTATATTGGAACCAGGTAGAAAATTTAAGTCGTCTTGAGCATTTGAAATTATTTGTCGTATAGATGAGCCAAATGTCTTGGGGTTCTTAAGGGGTAGTCAGCTCTGTCAGTTTGTCCATTCATCATCATACTTTTTCAATTTGTTTCATCAAAAAACAATCAATTTCGGTTTTGGGAAATTTAAAGCCATTTTTAGTACTGAACATCTCATTTCCAAATTCTACAGCAAGCTGCTAAGCTTTTCTTTGATTAATACGGCATCAGATTGTGATTTTTTTATCTCGTCATTGTTTAAATATTTTAACATATATTCCTCTATTTCTTTGAAGCCACATGATTTTAATCTTTTACTGTTTATATTCAAACCACTTTTTGAAAAATCATCTTTAAATTTTGATATATTAGCCATTTATACTTGCGGGAATCTCGAACTTATCGGTTTTGTCTAATTTTTTCGTCATAGAATTAGAGTTATAACTAGGGCCCGGATTAATATGTAAATACATATTTTTAATTTTCGCGATTTTCGGTCTAGAATGTGTTTTTTACATGGATTGTCATATTTAGACTGAAAAACCAACTTTTAATTTCCATATTTTACCGTATTTCAAAGTTAAGTCCATATTTTACAAGAAAATGTCACAATCATCAATATATTCACAAAAATATATAAAATTTAAGTTGGTTTTTCAGTCTAAATATGACAATCCATGTAAAAAACACATTCTAGACCGAAAATCGCGAAAATAAAAAATATGTATTTACATATTAATCCGGGCCCTAGTTATAATCAACATTATTACATAATGTTTCGTTTTTCTGAATCCGATAAGGAACATCTACGTTTCTGAGCCATTTTAAATAATTTTAACAATAGTGACGAGCAGAAGTGTTTAAATTACTCTCCATCAAACATCAATAATTGTTTTACCAACGAAAGCCTGTCAAAACATGTCGGTACATGAAACACATGCTATAAGATTAAGAATTATATTGGTGGCAACTTTATATAAAGGTTTGAGTCGACAAAATTCGTTAATTAGAAATACTAAATTTGCCATGATTAAATAAATATGGAAGGCTTGTTTTCTTTGAATAGAAATAGTGTTTATAAGTGAATTCTCCACCCTATATATATGTATATTAAATACACTCAAATTGATAAGAATCCCATATAGTGTTATATACTTTTTCCCAAAGAGGGTTGATGTCAGGCAGGCGGCCGGTCGTAAAAACAATTAGCCAAAACTATTCACAACATGTAAGGCAGACCCTGGCTGAAGCTGGGAAATTGCCAGGTAGAAGAAGTGTTATACTAATTACGCCTAGTTAACACCAGAAATTAATCTATGTTTATAATTACAATATTTTGTTCACATCAAATCAATATTCAACCTTACCATTATATTCGTCAAACGAAGACATTATCCAGTTTTCAATACATACATAAATCTTAAAACAAACTTAATATTTGAAATATGAATGGAAGACTGCAAAACTATCCGTGTGGCGTTTATCAATGCTAACCGATGGTAAGGTCCTAAGTCTAAGTTATATTATATACTAGCTGTGCCCGCGACTTCGTTCGCGTGAATTAGTTACTTTGAGCAGCGTTTTTTTTAAATATGATTCTTTAATTTGACATAACTTTTTTATTTATGAACCGACTGACATGAAACAAACACTAAAGGGGCTGTCCATTAATCACGTGAGGCTTGAAAGGGGGGGAGGGGTTTGATAAAAATCACGAAAATAACACAAGGGGGAGGGGGGTTGAGTAAGATATCTCGTGTATTTATTTTTTCGTCTAACGCTCGATTTTTAAACAAATATTAATTTATTATGGTCCTTAATTTCAGAATAAAATAAGATTATAGTTTATACCTGTATTTAAACATCACCAATGGGGGCGGGGGGGGGTTAAAAAATGCTAAAAAAAAGATCACGTGATTAATGGACAACCCCAAAGCATAACTGAAGCATGCCACAATATATTCGTGAAAACCGCATCCAACTCGGATCAGCCGTTTCTGAGATTAGCGTGAACAGACAAACAGACAAAAAAAAAGTTAATTACATTTTTGGGTTCGACATCGACATAACAATAACCCCTGCTATTTTTTTATTTTTATTTTCAATGTACAGACAGCACTTTTCTACAATTTTATTATATGTATAGATATATAGGTATACATATATGGCCTAAAACATTGTTAAACTAACAAGTACCGTGACTTCTAACTATCGAAAGTTCTGTTTTACTTTATAAATATAGTCAAATATAAAAATACGTCAAATTATAAGTTACGCGAATTCTATAGTGAATTATTTTACGAGTTAGTGTTGTCGACTTAAAGAATTTCATAAATATATATATATATTTAAATTATTTTGCTATAAAATCATTTTTATGTTCAAATATTAACTTATCTTTATATATCAAATGATTATTTACTATGATAATACATATATATAAATTATTTCCGCCAAGACCATACTTTGATTCTTTCAGTATTTCTAAAGCAAAGAACACTAACTCGTATGTCAGTTTATTTCCTTAAAACGAGTTCGCATCGTCAACTACATAGTAAATACGAGACATTTCACGTTTTTTATATAACTTACCTTAGTTCTGTTTGAAAATTTATCGAAGTTTGAAGCTACGTATGTAGTCTCGATGCAAACTCGTAAGTACTATTAATAATTGTCTTTATAAATGCCATGTTTTGCTACATACAGAATGCCTTTGAAACAATAACGTATATTTAAAGGAGGTTACTTTATTTACTGTGTAAATAAAAATATTTTTTCTATTCATATGTGTTTTATTTAATGTAAATTACAAAACATTGAAGTAAATATGACCATTTTCATTACGCATAACTTCTAATATATTGTCTAAATCTTCGATGAACTTGAAGATAAAATACATAAGGTAAGAATGTGTTATTTACGCTTTTTTTAATCATTGGTTTCAGCACTGACTAATGTCTCGACCGCGTCTCCGCCGTCCGGCTGAAATGAGCGATACATTCTATTAATATTTACTCATGAAAGAAAACTACATGTAAATGCGAAAACACTAATAAAATTTAAAGCGATTTTTTTTAAATCTAGGTCCAAAATAATCTCTTACACTTCTAAACTTTAAACACAATCATACAATACCAAAATAAGCAATAAATTGACAATATACGTTTTCGCGCCATAACTTCGCGTCACAGATAATAGTAATTATTATTGGGTCTCACGTAATGCTTTTAAAAATTAAAAATATTTAATTTAGGTCTTTCATAATGATTTACCTCAATATCTGCAACTATTAATGGCGGACCATCGTCTCTTAATACATTCTCTCCATCCAATTTCTTCAGTCCTGGTAGTCGCCGCGCTGCTTCAGACCTCCACACTTCAAGCTCGCAAGCGTCGTAAAGAGGATTACCCACAAAAAGGAGGTCGTCAAGGTTTTGGAGCTCCTTGAAGAAAAAAATAACTACCACAAGTTTTATATACATGTTTTATACTTTTAATACTAATAAATCTTAATTTAATAAATATAATATAATGCTTATTACATGTTTGCTCTTGTTTCAGGTTTTATTTATACGTTCTAAAACCGTATTTCTAAATCTAGTTTAATCAATTGAGAAATATCAGATGTTTTACATAATATACTACAATAAAAGTTTAAATCAATATCGGCTATAAACGTCACCAATAATAATAATAATTCATTAAACTTTAAAGTACTCAAGATTATAATTGGTCCAACAAATAAAAACGTTGACATTGGCATAATACTCCACAATCCCAGATCGAATGAAACCATAGCATAATAAAGTATGCATTAATATGCTTCTTACTTAATCTTTATACAGTCAGTGATAGTACAAATCCTCGTAACTATCATTGTATAATTCCACGTATCTACATTGGAAGAAGATTATCAGAAGAAAGTTTGAGCTGAAATATTTTATATATTAACCACTTTTATATATTTTTTTCACAATTAAATACTAAAGAATTATCCAATGCTATTTACGCGATGCACTATCCCCGTATGTAAGTTTAAAGCCAGTAATAAAATTAAATAAAACTCACTTGCAACTTATTAAATTCGCTCCATTCCTTCACCAGATTATTGCTCATATAGAGCACCTTCAAATTCCTGAGAACATTAATTCCTTTTAACTTTTCTATCAAGTTGTAAGATATCCAGAGTTCCTCCAACGTGTCGCCGAGACATTCCTGGATGAATAGCAACAGGATCACAGATTACATATTATTATTTAGAAAAAAAAACAATTTGACATTTTAAATTGTTTAAATCATTAAGACACAAGTGGTATATTAATAAAATAATTTTTATTGGGAATTATTTTTGAATAATTATTTATTAGATTGAAGCAATGTAGTTTTTTGAAAAAAATCATAAAACCTGCCCGTTTGTATTTGTTAATTATTTTATTAAATTAAGCTAACTTTATATAGGTACTTTTGATGTGTTAAATTCCGTCTAACATAAAATATTAAATGATTTCTAATACAAATCTTGTTTTTTATTATTACTCTATTTTCGTAACTTAATGTCTATTACCATTCCAGCAAACGACTTGATGTAGTTACGACCGAGCGACAGAACACGTAGTTTCTTCAAACTGTTTAAACCCGTGACTTTTTCTATTAAATTTGTGGATAAACTTAACTTTCTGAAATATATAACATATATAAAAGTTATCGTTAGTTATCTATACTAATATTATAAAGCTGAAGAGTTTGTTTGTTTGTTTGAAAGCGCTAATCTCCGAAACTTCTGGTTCGAATTGAATAATTCTTTTTGTGTTGGATAGTCCAGTTATCGAGGATGGCTGTATAACATCACGCTACGACCAATAGGAGCAAAGATATAGTGGTAAATGTGTAAAAAACGGGAGAAATTATTTCATCTTTGAAGCCTTCCGTTGCGTGCGCCGTGAAAACGGTTCAAGATACACAAAAAATATGTATTAAAGAATAATAGCTCTTTTAATGATCTAAAAAACAGTCCGCGACAGTATATGTCTATCTTTTAATATTAACTCACAAAAACCGTTTTTATGGTACCTAATTTGGTCGAAATAATTTATTTAAGTTGTATCAACATAATAATATTAATCTTTATTCAAATAAACAAATAGATATGTTGTTGGTTAAGAGTACTTCATTGTGAATAAAAAAAACATAAGTTTTATTCTGAAAATTCTACGGGAACTCGACAATTCCGAAAACCCCGCAAGAACAGGAACTATGTGGGAAGAACCAAAAATCTGCCGGAAGTCACTATTCCACGCGGACGGAGTCGCGGCAAAAGCTAGTTATTTTATATTTTCCTACATATTTTTAAATGAAATTTCTTATGCGACTTCCAAGAAGGTTGCGTTAAACGTTTAACGCTCCTTGGGGGGTTAAAGAGAGAACTAGATTGAATGCGTGGCTATCAATTGTGACTTGAAAGTAATAACAATGAACTTTATTTTAAAGAAACATTAAAATTTTCTTTAAAAGCAATTTCTACTCCTTTCTGTTTTTATTCCAACATTACAAAGTTTCACTTCTTTCCCGGAGAAACTCCACTCACAATTAATTATTTTATGTTTTATTTATATCTCATTTTAATATAAATTATTTTAAAATGCGCTTCATAAGACTTACTCGCAATTAACAAGAGATGATAATGTATTATCCATTTTTTCTATCGGCGGCCATTGAAATACCAAAGAAACTTCCGTAGCTGTGGCAGCTTGTTGTCCAGTCTTCTCCTCCCATCTTTTTATAGCCTCTTTAATTGTTGTAGCTTTGGTGGCCATTTTGAATTAAATAAAAAAACTTTCGCTTATAAAATATATTATATTTCTATAGTAACAATATCGATAAAACAATGCAGTTATGTTATATGAAAGCATAGTTGGTTTGCTATTTAAAAACATCATTTAAGCTTAAAAGATTATTTAATAACCATTACAATTCAAAGAATCATTATTGTACTTGTATTATAATCAAAAAGCAAGTAAACTTTCAACAATTTCTTCCATTAATAAGGATGTTTTATATTAATACCAATATTAGCAGGATTTATTTCAATATAATATTATATCATTTTTATAACTCTAAATATAAAAACTATTTCGTATTTCTTTATCATAGACAATATTTTTCTCTAAATTATTAGATTTTATGTCAAGTACATTCTAAACGTCAACGTCAGAATGCTCGAATGTCAAATTGCGACACAAACTTATTACTAACTACATCTTCTGTATCACGTAATGGCGGAAAGATATAATATAATGATCATATTCTAGTGAAACGAAGCTTCGTTTGCTCCGAGTGTGATAAAATATCATTTGGATATCAATAACAGATATACCGCAAGTGTTTGACATAAAACTATTTGACATATTTAATTTTTAAAAAGGACGCCATAGTTCACATTTTTATTTTTTAATTTCTTATTTTTAATTAAAAAAAAAACAAACGTCAGTCTATTCCAACAACTTTGTGTTTCTAGTGTTAACTAGGTTTTTAATTTACAAATACATATTAATTCTTGTTTACTATAGTTTAAACGAAGTAAAGGAAGCTGAAATACGAATTCAATACTAGGTTAGTTATCAAAATAGAAAAATAAACATAACAACTTTATATGCCATAGCCAAGATTCGTAGCCATATCTTTAAAAAAAATTTTGTCAATTTGTATTCCCGCTATTTTGAAAACGATTTAAAAATTTTATATGAATAATTATTATTAATTTAGACGATATTTATATTTCGTTTTATTAAAATACAGTTTAATGGCGTTTTTATATACTTTCGGTATCATATCACGTTATTTAAGTTGGAAATTATCTTAAAATGCTAACTAACGATATAAAATACTATAATATTTCAGATATTATGTCTCGTCAAGTGAGAGAAGTGAACGTAGTCCCTTTAACAAAAATAAAGGTAAGTACAATAATATATAATCGAACGTAAAATTGCTAACTTAAAACATTCTGTCACGAACTATTTACAATACAAATCGTCTTTATTAAGCAAGTAAACATCGAAAGTCCGTATTAATAATATAAAACAAAAGAAAACGATGTAATTTTCCAAGAAATAGTGACAAAAACCTATTATATTGATTTTTGCAGCAAGAAAAGCTTTCTGATGATGAAGACGAAGATTCAGTGTCTTGTAAAGCATGCAGTAAAACCTTCGTGTCTGAAACAGCGTTACAGAATCACGCCAGAATAGAGCATATTGACAGATATCTGCTCGGAGAAGACTTGTGTGTTAAACAATATGTTAAAACAGAAAGTTTGATATTAAAAGCCATATTATACATATAAATACTGTAAATATGTTTATTATTAAGTTTTTTATATAATGTACTTGTATTTAGTCAGTATTTGAAACATATTGGTCAAGTAACTTCCATTTACATTATTTTGTGAGTGTTATCTTCAATTTTGTTATATAGTCACAATAAACTCTCATTAAGTATAGTAATATATATTTTGAACACTACATGAACATATATTACATGTTGATTCCATATAATATTCTCCAACTATATATATATATATGTATATATATATATGTGTATATTCTTCAGAAACGAAAGTACAGCGTACAAGAACAAGAAGCAATGAAACGTAGGACCGAGGAACTCATATCATCAATGGAGCCGACTAATCTGATGAGTCTAGCTTCAAACGATGTCAGCTACATCATCATAAAATCCGACGGCCAGCCGGAAATAAAAAGATTTAAGAAGGAAAAGGTAATTAATTGTAGTTTGGTAATTAATGTATTTGTATGTATGTGTGGTTAAAGTCATCTATTTCTCAAAAGAAATTTAATTTTATTTAATGGGAAAACACAACAAAATATTGCATACTAATTTAGTTGTGAGCATTTAGACAGATACATTTATGTAAAATATTATTTCTCAATTTTATATTTGATTTTGAGTTAACTGAATTTTGGTATAAAATAGTGCATATGTCATTCAGAGATTAAAGCTGAAAAATTTCATCAAAATCTGTTAAGTTCATTTTTATTGAAACAATAAATTTCTAAAGAAATTGACTATCAATATATCTTCTTCTACCTGGCAATTTCCCAGCTTTAGCCAGAGTCTGCCTTACATGTTGTGAATAGTTTTAGCTAATAATTTTTAAGACCGGCCTGCCTGATATCAACCCTTTTTGGGAATGCATTAATCAGTGATGTCTAAATACTCTTAGAAAGTACATATGACTCGGAAAAATCACATTGGTACTTGCCAGGATCGAACCTGAGCCCTCGTACATGAGAGCGGGCCTTTTAACCACTAAGCCACCACTGACTTTTCATATTGAGTAATATATATATATATATATATATATATGAATGGTCCTAAATTTGATTCCTGATTGTATTAAATTTAATAATTTACAATTAATTACAGGTAGAAAGAGAAAAACCTGTGAAAGACGTGAGACAAGTCAAAAAGGACAAAGAGGTTCAAGCTATAAGGTGAATAAAAACATATACCTATGTATTTATATTTAAAAATATATACAGGGTGACTGGTGAATTACTATCGATACTTGAGGACGTGATATTTGACGATCATATATGACAAAATAAAAATTAATATAACATGAATATTAATAAACTTCTAAGTAAAATTACCCAAAAGTTATGTAATTAATTACGCATCGTGTGAACACCCTACAGATTAGGTATACACACACACGCGTCCTGCGGTGTGTTGTTGTATCAGCACGTCGCCGCACGCGTCCACACTTGGAACGTGTCCACACTTTATTTATTTATACGGAAATTTGGTCAAAAATTAAGTGCCTATTTTTTTTTACATAATTCGAATGAGAATCATGTACCGAGTATTCTCCTGAAATATTGATAGTAATTCACCAGTCACCCTGTATATCTAAGTTACTTTTGGACTTTGTCGGCTTTTTCCTAGCCATATCTTCAATGAGAAATGTATAGATGCGTGCGTGAGTGTGTGTGTTCAAATCACCAAATTAGTTTTCAAAGTGATATTTTTGGTAATATAAATATTATAAAAACTTGTATATCTTTGATGAAGTATGAATACCTCCTAACTGACAATTTAGTCCAAAGTACTTTTTTTATTACAATACACATAAAACTCATTCTCATAGATTGACTTCACTTCTATCCAATATTTCTTTACTAAACAGTTTCTTGAGCTATGTGAAAATATCTTCTAAGTGGCAGAAATTATTCATCCGTATATATTTAACAGTTTTTTTCTTCTGGTGTAAAATTAGATTCTCAACACTAGGAGGTATTGGTACTTCATCGATGATATTATGTTATATAGTACAAGATGCTGTAACTTTCTATATCTTTAATTAATAACTATCAGTATTGGAACAGTCTTCTATTTATTTATTTATTTAAAAGGTACATCAACAAAAAATCTAGGACCTGATATGACAATTACGGATGTACATTCACACAAAGAAAAAAAATTAAACTTATTGTCTACCCGTTGAATTTAAGTGATAATTAGATAACTATTAAGGAAAAAATCTTAAAAATATACAAAATTACAAGAAAATAAATATGTTCTATTATATTAATATCAATTTAACAATCTTTCAACCCACAGCGGTCCCTTCGAGTGTCTCCAGCCATCAACCCGAGCTCCCTCGGGTCTATGTCACCAAATGTTCCTCTCCTGCTGTCAATATTCTGCCCACTGGAGGGACGAACACACAAGGAGGAGGAAGGGGCTCCGCTGCCAGGTCTGTGAGAAGCCCCTCGCTCACACCTTGGAGCCCTATGTCTGTCAGGTGACTAGCATTTATTATTGACTAGCTGACCCGGCAGACTTCGTACTGCCTCAATCGAGAAATATATATTTTTCATTTATTTTTTAGAGTTTACTTATAAGCCATAAATCTCCGTGTTCTGAAGTGCGACAGAATGATTGACATAATAGTTATCAAATCTAATGTAAAAAAAACGTTTGTATGGGAAATAGAAAAGGGCTGTTTTTAGGGTTTTCCCGGAAATTATTCAATTTTTTTCAGCTTTTAAACTTTTTCTGAACCTCCGCGAACATTTCAGGACTAAGATAATATAAATCCGTTCAGCTGTTCTCGAGTTTTAGTGAGACTAAGGAACAGCGATCCATTTTTATATATATAGATCCAAAGAAAACAATCTTGTGATAATTACATACTTATGTTTAATATATCTAGTGCATGCTGTGATTGCCTATAAAGATATCAAGTGTGATCAATTGTTAGCTATATAATATTTGTAATACTATTGTCATTTCTGTCGGTGATCATATAAAATAAATAAAATAAATATATAACTAACTGCGCACCGCGGATTTCCGGGATGTAAAGTAGCCTATGTGTTATTCCTGGACGTCAGCTTGCTGTATACAAAATTATATCAAAATCGGGTCAGCCGTTCGAGCGTTAATAAGTAACAAACATGAACACACTCACAAACTTTCGCAATTATAATATTAGTAGGATGGTTTTTGATCAACTGTGAATGAGAAGGTTGTGTGTTTGATGGGTTTATTTGATACAATTCAGGCTCCGACTGTAAAGACTCATATGTTTTTAACTAGCTTTCCGCCCGCAGCTTCGCCCGCGTGGAGTTCGGTTATATCGCGTTTCCAAGAGAACCTTTCAAAAGTCTGGGATAAAAACTATCCTATGTTCTTTCTCAAGGTCAACTCTGTCTATACCAAATTTCATTAAAATCAGTTCAGTGGTTTAGTCGTGAGCGTAACAGACAGACAGACGGAGTTACTTTCGCATTTATAATATTAGTAGGGAATAAAGTGTGGTCATGTTAAAAGTGAATTGCTAAATAGTATCTTTTAAAGAATTGCTTTTTTACACTAATTGATAAAATTGTAATATCTAAAATAATGATTTTTTTTACATTTACATATATACGAGATACATTTGTATGTATATATGAAAAATATTTATTTATATCTGTCTGTAACAAAATATCCATTCATAGACAGAGTTGGTAACAAAGCTAGTATATAAAATTGCATCGAAGGTAGCAATAGTGGGTTCGGATCATATTTGGTAGAGAGAGGAGCTTGTACAGTGGAGGTGATCGTTTAACGTTAGATAGAGGTCCCTTAAACCTACACCTGGGTCACAAGTCACAGTCACTGTTGAAGCTCCTCTCACTACAACGATGGACCCGACACACGCACCGTGAATACATGGAATGATGAGAGGTTTCGTCTCTCTATATATATTAAACCTACACCTGGGTCACAAGTCCCAGTCACTGTTGAAGCTCCTCTCACTACAACGATGGACCCGACACACGCACCGTGAATACATGGAATGATGAGAGGTTTCGTCTCTCTATATATATTAAACCTACACCTGGGTCACAAGTCACAGTCACTGTTGAAGCTCCTCTCACTACAACGATGGACCCGACACACGCACCGTGAATACATGGAATGATGAGAGGTTTCGTCTCTCTATATATATTAAACCTACACCTGGGTCACAAGTCCCAGTCACTGTTGAAGCTCCTCTCACTACAACGATGGACCCGACACACGCACCGTGAATACATGGAATGATGAGAGGTTTCGTCTCTCTATATATATTAAACCTACACCTGGGTCACAAGTCACAGTCACTGTTGAAGCTCCTCTCACTACAACGATGGACCCGACACACGCACCGTGAATACATGGAATGATGAGAGGTTTCGTCTCTCTATATATATTAAACCTACACCTGGGTCACAAGTCCCAGTCACTGTTGAAGCTCCTCTCACTACAACGATGGACCCGACACACGCACCGTGAATACATGGAATGATGAGAGAGGTTTCGTCTCTCTATATATATTAAACCTACACCTGGGTCACAAGTCACAGTCACTGTTGAAGCTCCTCTCACTACAACGATGGACCCGACACACGCACCGTGAATACATGGAATGATGAGAGGTTTCGTCTCTCTATATATATTAAACCTACACCTGGGTCACAAGTCCCAGTCACTGTTGAAGCTCCTCTCACTACAACGATGGACCCGACACACGCACCGTGAATACATGGAATGATGAGAGGTTTCGTCTTGTCTTAGTTGTGTCGGAGTAAATAGATTAATATTTGTATAAAAAAAGTCTGTTAACGCATTTTTTAATGATTTAATATTATTTAATTATAATTTTATTTAGACAATTCTCAATAATTTTTTTCAAGCTCTCAGAAGCTGATGAAAAGTAAAAATAATCCTATTGTTCATTTAATATTATAAGAAAGATATTCTTAGTTATTTCTAATAAAGTCGAAAGTTTTTAAAGTTTATATAATAAAAAATGATTTGTGTTAATTTCAGGTATGCGGAATTGGTTTCGACAACGCCAAAGACCTAAGCTTTCACAGTCAAACCAGTCATATAAAATTGAAACCATTCGAATGCACGGTCTGCCACAAGAGATTTACACAACAAGCAGGGGTCAACCAACATATGAGGATGCATACCGGAGATCGACCATTCACCTGTACATATTGCTCGAAGACTTTCACTCAGAAGTCCGGTCTTGACCAACATTTGAGGATACATACTAAAATCAAGCCATATCGATGTGTTATATGCAGTAAATCCTTCTGCCAATCTGTTCATCTACAACAGCATATGCGCACACACACAAATGTAGCACCATTCCAATGTGGCATATGCCAGAAGCGTTTCAAACAAAGCAGCCATCTTAATTATCATCTAAAATACCATAATTTGAACATGACCGATGAACAGAAACAAAGATATGATGAATTGATGATGATGATGGGGAAAACACAAGTGAAAACAGATCAGAATTATGTGTTAATGGACAGTGTGAGTGAGAACCAGTGAAACAGTCGTTAACAGTGAAAATAGTCATTAACAGTGACTTAGAATGAGTGAAAACAGTCGTTAGAGTGAAGTCATAGAATTAAATGTGTATATATTCATTACTTAGCATAATATTAATGTATGCGGATCTTCCATTAATATAAAGTTTATTTAAGTGTAGACAATTCCGGTACATTTTATATGTATGTCTTGTCACTGACAAATATTAATGAAAATTGGCAATAGATAGTTAATAAGAAATTTAAATCTCAGTTATTTTAGTTAAAGAGTTATTACATACATACAATGATTTTTATTTATAAAAATATTATTTACTATTACTGAAGACTCATTTAATATATATGATGATTAGTTGTGGTGTCCTAGTGGTCAAAGGTCAGCCTCTAGCATGAGGGCGCGGGTTCGATCCTGGCAAGTACCAATATGATGTTCCGAGTCATATGTACTGTATAAGAGTATTTAGACACCACTGACTGATGAAGGAAAATATGAGGAAACATGGAGTTAATCAAATTATAAGTTTGAAATCACCAACCCGTCTTGAGCGAGCGTGGTGATTAATGCTCTAACCTTCTCCATATGAGAAGAGACTCAGCAGTGGGCTCTGATAGGCTGATAATGATATATACTTACTATGAACATATCAAAAACAAGTATTATAAAAATTACTTAAGGTCACAATAGCTCAGTTGTTAAAACGACCAAGATCCTACATCCTTGAAGTCATCGGTTCAATACCGATAGTGTTAATGAATTTCTTTCTTTATATATTTATTTAAATTCAAATATCTTGACTCTAAAATAACTAATATGTTGAGAAGTAGTAATTTATAAATAGTATATTTTGTAGGTAGAATGAAATTTTTACACCTCTATATATATATGACAATTGTACATATATTATTTGTTCCTTGTAAAAAATGTAGGCAATTTTAATAAATATATAAATTTAAATGCGTTTTTCAATATTTATACCCTTTTTTCCAACATACTGACACTATCCTATATTAATTAATAAGTATGTAGAGAATGCTTAAAACTTAAAATCATTCTATAGATATCTCTATTTAATGAAATAGACGCATCAAAATTGATTCAGCAATTTAAAAATTTTAGAGGTGATAGAGCCTATCTGTGGTCAAGTTACTACAGCTCGAACATGTGCTGGCTCGACCGGGGAAGTACCACCCTCTCACAGAAGATCGGCGTGAAGTAGTCTTTAATGGATGCGTTTCGTCCGATGAGTGAGAGAGACGGTTGCACTATCTTTTCCCATCCTTTTATTTCCCTCCCTTTCCCACCTTTTCCTCTCCATTTTCCCCATCAATAACGGCAACATATCCGCAAATCTACGTTGCAAATGTCCATGGGCGATGGTACTGCCTTCATCAAGTAGGCCGTCTGCACAGTTACCTCCTTTTCCCATAAAAGGAATTAGTAAATGTCTCAATAAATAAATACTGCGATATTAATATAAATTCGTTTAATATAACAAACTATTAGTAAAATAATTAAATAAAATTCATATTTTGGCGCCAAAAATAACAGTTTCAACAATCATGTATTATGTCAAAATATAAAAGTTAGGTATTATCAGTTCCCCTACCAAAGTATCGTTAGAGACATCTAGTTTTTCATTAATAATAATAATGTAATGTGAAGATTTTTAAACGAAAAACTATGCTTTTAATTTGGCAACGACTACCAATGGTAGGGGAAAAGATGTATTAAAACAGATCTACTTTTTGATTGTGACTAGTTAAATACAAACTATTTTTTTTTAAATTAATCTGTGACAGTTTCTCAAGCATTCTACATTCTGCCAATGTCAATGTATGTACCAAAGAGTTTGCACGGTTTGATAATATAAAAACTTTTTAATAACTGCTGATTTATGATTAATAAAAAGCCTGGTTCTTCTTATATCTGTAGTTATCGTATCTCTTCTTCTTGTCGGTCACGGTCCGCGGCTGGATGTCGATGTGATTTATTCCTGACGATGACAGACGGCGCGCCAACTTGTCCATTGAGCGGACTACCAGCTGAGGCGAGGGTTGCCCTGTTCATAGAATTAAATAAATTAATGCTAATAAAAATAAAGATTGTTTAAAATATGCCCTTCATCAGTGCAAAGAAGTGCACAGTATATTCTGCCAGTGTCGAGAATGGAGACACGATCAGGAATTAACTTTTAAATGAAATAAAATTGAACTAGCAATACTGAAGTTACAATTAGGAACTTTGTTATTGGATCTAAAACAATAATTTTGTAGGTGGTAGAGCCTAGCTGTGGTCAAGTTACTACAGCTCGAGCATGTGAGGGCTCGACCGAGGAAGTACCAACTCACAGAAGATTGATAGTAGTCTTTAATGGCTGCGTTTCGTCAGATGAGTGAGAGAGACGGTTGCCCTTTCCCTATTCCCAACCTTTTCTGGTATTTCTCTATTCCTACCCTTCCCTTTTCCTACACAACTAAGTTTGGCAACGCATATACAACATCTATGTTGCGGATGTCCATGGGCGACGGTGACTGACCATCAAGTGGGCCGTCTGCTCGTTTGTCAGTTTTTACATTTAAAAAAATACAAATTCAAATAAATGCAAACATAGGAGATATCTTCTTCTTCTTCTACCTGGCAATTTCCCAGCTTAAGCCAGGGCTTAAGCTGGGAAATTGCCAGACCCTGTTCTGCCTTACACGTTATGAATAATTTCGGCTAATTGTTTTTACGACCGGCCGCCTACCTGACATCAACCCTCTTTGGGAAAAAAATTGTATTAGGTAAAAATATCAAACTAAGACTAATGTTATATAAAGGTAAAACAATTTACTACGGTAAAAATAATACTAGGATCTCCTTTAAAGAAATATAACGTCATTTCTCCATTCGACAAACTCCTTCGTGTCTCCACACAGTACTCAACATTATAAGTCGTGCAACAAATAAAAACGTTGACATTGACAGAATATTGCACGGTTCCAGTGTTAATGGAGCAATATTATATTTAAAAAAAATACTAATAAATAACTTAATTTTTACGTATTTGAAATATACATAGAAATATTACGAGTATTTTTACATTTACGTTTTTGGTACAGTATTTAAAATTTAGAAACAAAATGCTTTCACATCCTAATGCCAAAGATGAATAATAAAAAAATTGCCAATAAGTTTTTTACACGACTCTTAGTGATAATCTCACAAAAATTATAATTTTTATTTAAAATAACATTATGTCATACCTTCCTTTATTTTCTTCGAGTCTCTTGTCATACGTTTTTTATTATTATTAATATGTTCCCCTTGCGGCTGCCTTTTCAATATTTCGTTATTAGTAACCCTTTAAAAATAAAATTAATTTAGTCAAAATTAAAAATCATTTAGTCTTCTACACTAAAATAAAATATAATGTGAATTTAAATGTCATCAATATGGCAACAATTTTAAATGTAATTAATTGTTAAATAAAACAAAATCTAGCTATTTAATAGAGCATTCAAATGTTTCTGAATATTTTACAAATTAAATATATTAAAACAAATTCTTTCGCGAGTATTCATTTAAATGAAACTAATATTTATCGGATTATTACGAACACATCTCGTCTTAATGATCACGCTTGCTGAAAAGTAACCGAAACGTCGGTAGTATGTAGTTTTTGAAATGAGACGAATCCTCTCATCATTCCATGTATTCACGGTGCGTGTGTCGGGTCCATCGTTGTAGTGAGAGGAGCTTCAACAGTGACTGGTACTTGTGACCCAGGTGTAGGTTTAAGGGACCCTATCTAACGTTAAACGATCACCTCCACCGTACAAGCTCCTCTCTCTACCATTTGAAAATAACCTACTAGAACTTCCTTCGAAGTACGAATAAAATACACGTAGTAATCCAAATAATATTAGTTTCATTTAAGTGCAATATATATTTTGTCCTATTTTCATTCATATTTATACTTTTCAATCAAATATTTTCCTAATAATTACGATATTAAAGAGGTACCTCGTTACTTTCCTGGGGAACAATCCGTACTTCAGATGTGGGGCGTAAGGATTACAACCTTCTCTCAATGGTTTAGGTCGGAGCCAGCAACATCTATAACAAACAACGCCCTTATAACGTGTTGCTGACGAGAAACTGACGGTTTTGCGTATGTATATATGTATACATATACAGGGTGACTGGTGAATTACTATCAATATTTAAGGAGCATACTCGGTACATGATTCTCATTCGAATTATGTAAAAAAAATAGGTACTTAATTTTTGACAAAATTTCCGTATAAATAAATAAAGTGTTGACACGTTCCAAGTGTTCCTAGTGTGGACGCGTGCGGCGGCGTGCTGATACAACACCACGCCGCCGCACGCGTATGTGTGAGTGTGTGTGTATACGTAATCTGTAGGGTGTTCACACGATGCGCAATTAATTACATAACTTTTGATTAACTTTACTTAGAAGTTTATTGATATTTATGTTATATTAATTTTTATTTTGTCATATATGATCGTCAAATATCACGTCCTCAAGTATCGATAGTAATTCACCAGTCACCCTGTATATAAAAATGAATTGCTGTTCGTTAGTCTCACTAAAACTCGAGAACGGTTGAACGGATTTATCTTATCTTAGTCTTGAAATGTTTGTGGAACTTCAGGGAAGGTTTAAAAGCTGAAAAAAATTGATTTATTTCCCGGAAAACCCTAAAAACAGCGCTTTTCTATTTTCCATACAAACGTTTTTTTTGACATTAGATTTGACAACTGACTAATATGTCAATCATTCTGTCGCACTTCAAAACACGGAGATTTACGGCTTAAAGGTAAACTCCAAAAAAGTAAATAAAAAAATATTTATTTATCGATTGAGGCAGTACGAAGTTCGCCGGGTCAGTTAGTTATATTATATGTATAAACTACATTAATACTATTTACGAATATTTATTCATTGAAAACTGAAAATGTTACGTATTTATTTTGACTATCACAACATTTACTAAAGTACTTGTACATTTTTTAAGTACAGTTCTTTCTGACTGACAAGATAATTTTTATTACGTAAGAATTTCTATGATTTTGGGCCAGTTAATAAAACTGTAGATTCATATACATATATACATCATTTTTTCATAATATTACAATTTTTGTTAATAATGATAAATTATTACTTTCAATACTTTATTCAAATATGTACTAGTTTTTTCCACAACTCCGTCTGACCGCGGAAGTC